CATTTGAGACTTTTGTTTCTTGTTGAGTTATTAGAAAACAACATCAGAGTTCTGAAAAACTAAAGATGAAGTTCAAAGTAGTATTTTTTTCAAAAAAAAAAAAAAAAACGAAAGACATTCAAGTCATTTTGTCAATAAGTTTTCATAAATCATTCATGGATTATGTTATATATATATATATATATATATATATATATGTGTGTGTGTGTGTGTATATAAAAGATTATTAACTTATATTTTACATAAGATTTAATTAAAAAAATGTATTGGCTCATATTAGCTGAATAAATGTATTTTTAGAAGATATTGTTTTTTTTGTAATTATTCTGTAAATCCTCCTTGATTAACGGAGAGTCTGCTGTAATCTTCTTCTATATATTGATAAAGTACTCACCACAATTTGTGTGATTGATTTTACAACATTCCATAGCTCATAATTTCAACGAATTATTGATTTGGCACATTATCCTCAAGTTGTGACTAGTCAAGAATATTATTTAAGCGAGATTATTAAATAATCGAGTATATTAATTAATAGAGTTTATGTTGTATTTAATATTCTATAAATGTTGTACTTTTAAATTTAAAATTTTCTATATCAATTTTAGAAGTTTTACCTGAATATTTTGTTTAAATGTTACCGAGATAGATTGTCTTATACAAATTTTCTTAACATTGTTATATTAATAAATAATTTAGGATTTTTTTAATTAATTTAATATATTTATTAAATAATATGTGAAATCAATGTTTTTCAAGGTCCATCAGTTCAATGACTTTCATACATCAGAATGTCACTTCAATATATCAGAATACCATAAACTTGTCAGAAGGTTATGATATATTATTTTCAAGATAAATGTTTTGTTTATAAAAGAACTTAACATTCTTTTTCTTGGTTAAAAAAGTAGATAATTTTTAACATTTTAAAAAATGTTAGCAAGATAGATCGTGATGTACAAGTCTTTTTAACATTATTATATTAATGAATAATTTAAAAAAATTATATTTAATTTAATATATTTATTAAATAATATCATAACATAACATAATGAATAAAATTTTAAAAGTATAATATCATAATATAATGAATAATTTAAAAATATGTTGTTGTGATAATAAAAAGTAAAAATACAATGAATTTTAATAAGATTAGTGTTTAATACATTTATACAACTTAAAAACTTGTAAGAAACTTACCAACTTATTTATTTATTTATTGAATGTAGGACATTTTGTTCCCATCTACAACTTAAAATCATTTTAATATATACTCTTGTTCATAAATGCAAATTTTTTTAATCATTTTGTGACAAGTTGTTACATTAATCTTATTAATTGATATGTGTTTTTTTTCAAACGATTATAAATATGCATTAGTAGATTTGTTAATGATATAATTATTGAAAACAGACATATATATATATATATATATATATATATGATATATTTCAAATGCAACTATATTTATTTGTACAATCAATACAACTCAATTAATTAAGATATTTATAAAAATGATGAGAGTTTATTTATTATGATTTAAATATTTATGAAAGATGAATAAAGTTCATTAATTATGATCAATACTTTATATTAGTAAACAACCAAAACTTCTATGAAATCACATATTCATCAAATTAAATGAACGGTTGAGATTGAATTGTATTGCTTGTACACATGTGTAGGGTTAGTATAATAATCAACTTCTCTCTCTCTCTCTCTCTCTCTATATATATATATATATATATATATATATATATATATATATATAGGGGCCTAATCAAATGAGAACTAATTAGTTTGTGATAACCGTGAGATCCAATCTCAACCACAAATCAATAGATAAATTAGGAAATTTATAATTTTGGTAATTTTGAATTAAAATTTTAATGCAAAGATATTTTTGTTATTTTAAAAGTCTCATCTCTTCTCTCTCCGGCCACCGTCTTCCGGTGATACCACAATGGTATCACAATGCATCATATATATGTTTGGGTATCATATTGAGGTCGTTTGTGTGGTCGATTGTAGATGTAACACAGTGATATCATAATCCATCTTATTTATGCTTGAGTATCATAATGTATATTTTGTTTAACAGAGTTAATATTTTTAGGTATCACAGTGGTATCATCGGAGGACGGTGACCGGAGGACGGAGAGAGAAGAAAGGAGAGAGGAGATAAAATACCTAAAATGTCTTTGTATTAAAAATTTAATTCAAAATTACCAAAATTATAAATTTTCTAATTTATCTATTGATTTGTGGTTGAGATTGAATCTCACGGTTACCGCAAACTAGTCAGTTATTTTTTGAATGGACCCCTATATATATATATATATTCATGTTAGAAGTGTGAACAAGAGTATATATTAAAAAGAGTCAAAAGTGAAGTATGAACATGTTTTGTTAATTAGAGATCACATGCACTTTTTAAATCTTTAGTCATGAAAACAACGAGTTTTGGCTTCCCATGCTTTAACCATGCATACATCATCATAAGTCAAAACTTTTCTAATTTATTTAAAAATAAATTAAATATATAATAGTGATGTAGCGGAGGATTACAAAAGGATCGATCAACGTCTAAATCTTTAAAGGGTAACAAGCTTTATAACGAGACGTTCGAAAAATTAAGAGAAACTCTTATAAACTACGTCATATATAACTCTAGGAAATATTTAATTTAATCAATTATATTATAAACTTAATAATAATGAAAACATTAAACCCTATTTATAATCTTAAGTACATCAGATATAACTATGAAATTTAAATTCAAACTAATCATAATAAACCAACTATAAAATTAAAGAAATAATTAATTAAAAGTAATTAAACTATTAATAATCCTAATCTAATTATAAAATTGATAAATAATAATTAAACTAAATAATTATTGTAAATAAACAAATAAATGTAATCCGTACATTAATTAATAGTCAGGACATATACGCGCGCATAAGATACTGTCTTCCCATTTTCGATGCCAACTTCCAGGATTCTTTCGAGCTTGTTTTCTTTTCTTCCAAAAATCTGCTGAAAACTTTATCAATCAACTCTCAAATTCTCTCCGTATTAAATAATTATATCTCTCTTTTGTTTATTAAATTATAATACATGTCTTCTTTATATGTAATAAATAAATAGTAAGTTTCTTAAATTGAAGTTCATAAAAACATGTTTAAAACGCGAAATAATGTATATTTTATTAGGAAAATTGAACCAACTTTCACCTAATTCCTATTTTGGGAACCAACTTTCAAAATCGTCATTTAGGGGTCTTTATCAAACTTTTTGTTTATTTAAGGGTCTGGTTGATCTGTTGATCAGGTAACAGGTAATTTAAGGGTCAAACTTTTGGTTTGATTTGCCAAATTTGATTTAAACTTTAATATTGATACGGATTTGTTAGATATAAAAATCTTGAATGTGATATTTAATATTTATTTATATTGCATCAATTAATTTTTTTCTATTAAGTTGATTTTTTATTGCATTAGTAAAAAACAATTTTTATTGTGGTAATTTGGATTTTTTTTGAAAAAATCTTCAATTTAATATCTGAATTTAAAAAAAAAACGAGATTTGAAATAAAAAAATAAATTTTATTGCATTAATTTTTGAAAAAAAACTAATTTTAGTTTATTTTTCTATAATTATTTTGCAAGTTGGTTTCCCAAAATAAGAATCAGGTGCAAGTTGGTTCCCCAAAATGACGATATTGAAAGTTGATTCCTCAAAATAAGAATCAAGGTGAAAGTTGGTTTCATTTTCGTACAATTTTTCTTATTTTATTTTGATAAAGTTTACATTTATTTATGGGTTATTTTTATCTTTTTGAAGTGGACATTAAAAAAAGTAAGAAGGTTGATATTAAAAGTTTCGACAGCATGTTGGCAAAATTAATTAGTTGAATTAATGACGATCACGGTTTGTCCATTTTTTAGCACAAATTTTCTTCTGGATTACAAAACCTTTTTGCATCACCATCAGTTACGTTTCAATTTTTTTGGAGGCTCTGTTGTATCCAAAACTTTTCATTATATTGCATAAATGAGATGACAAATGATATATGTTAAGAATAAAAATGAGTTAAACCTAAAACAATTAACAATCTGAAACTAAACCTAAACCATTACTGATTTGAACCTAAAAGCAAATACGTAATGGTTTGACCCTAAATAATTTCGGCAATAGTTTAACATATGTCGATAAAAAGACCCTAAACACATGTAAATTTGGACTCCAAAATTTTTGTAGCCCTGTTCAAAATCTCATATTTTAACATGCTAAGAGACGACCCTGTTCACCACAACATGTCGTGCCAACATATTTAAGATATGCAAAAATAAAAAATTTAGCATATGATATCCAAAATTAGCAAATATGCACGGTTTTTAATCGTCACAAAATTAAACACCACAACGAAGTATTCAATGGAGCTTTAATTTTATATGATTAAGAACCGTAAGTCTTATTTAATACCTTTGGTCGACAAAGTTGGGTTAAGTAATAAGACACAAATTAAATCGTTAAAAGAGTCGTATATATAAAAATGTTAATGTGATGCTTTGCAAGTGTGATTTATAAAAAGGTTACCAAAACGAGTTGTTTTTGTTGTTCTATTAAGTTTCTCGTCGATAGAACTTATTAAGACGTCTTATGAATTTGTTGCTACATCTTTTGATACTTAAAGTAAGATTACATAGTACTTATTACCGCGTTTGGGGTTCCTAAAAGTGTTGTAGATATCTTCCACTACTCCCCTTCAAGTTGAGCATGTAGGCCATAAATGTGCCACTTGATGAATATGACCAAGGGTTTAGTGAATTCGCAACTATCTCATTAAGTACAAACATGTCTAGTCGCAATATCGACAACTTGTATGGTTGTATTCGATCATGTACATAATAACAGTCGATCTCAATATGCCAGAAAAAGATAAGATATGGTATCAAAAGCGACTTAATTAGTTGTCACGATAAAAACACGAATGTAATGACCCAAAATATGGTCGAATCGTTTAATTACTATTTGATGTTAGTTCATACAATATGATAATGAAGTTTAAAAAAACAGTAAAATAAGGTATTTGGATTTGTTAGATTGTGTTAATTCTAATGGTATCCTGTTAACGTGGATGGAAGAAGTTGGCATCTAAACCTCTGGAAGCCAAGTTCCACACACCAACAACAGTGACCAACACGCTTAGCCCTATTCCTAAACACCCAAGCCCAAGGTTAACCCACCACCTTCTTGATCTTGTTGGTGGTTTCTTGATCGCGATCCACATGAGACTTGGGTACCCGAACGTTATACACAGTGCAATCCCTCCAATCAATATCGCAAGGGTTGGCAGGAATGGGACCGCCACCGATATAAAGAAGGTCACACCTCCAAAGACAATCCGGATCACTGTACGGATGAACTTTGTGCATTCCTGGTTCGTTCTGCTTGCGTATGCGCGTTCCAGGTTGTCGTAGACAACCATGCTGTAGATTTGGAAAGCAGTCACGCAGCTTATGACGACTTGGACGTATATGACGCCAAGCACCGGTTTTGAGGCATAGTGGTGGAGGGAGGAGGAGAGAGCGGTTAACAATCCTCCGTTGGCCGGAAACTGGAACCATTTTGAGTGTTAATTAGTACATGATTGAGGTTAAATTCGAAGGTTGATTTTGAAATGGAAGACTTTGCTAACCTTGTTCCCCATGGCCCAGTATCCAACAATTGCAAAAGGGAAGAAACACATTGCAATGATGAGATATGATGCGATCACTCCTTTCCACATGAGGTTTGATGATGAGCGATTTGGGGTTGACGGCAAAGTACCCTTTAAACAGCACAACAAATTAAGCATGGTTAATCATGTTGTTAATTAATTAAAGTATCATTATTGATTAAAAGCAGTTGGATATATAACATTTACCTGTATCTCTAAGACAACATTATGGCCTCTAAATGCAAGGGCAATGATCCCAAGTGCATTCAAGATGCTTCGAACTCGACCAACTTCTGAGGCAACAGCTTTTGATGGATCATAAACAGTATGGTCATCCCTTCCTTTTGCAATGAAAAATACCCATAAGATCGTACAGTATCCAACCGCCATGATCGCTCCAAGAAACGAGACAAGAGCTACGGAATGCAAATTCGGCAAGAAGAGGGACACAAGAATTGCCAAACAAATGAAAACCAAGAACCATTCTGTAGTCGTCAAGGTCTGTTTGGAAGAACAATCCTCACACAAGAGTTGATAAAATCGTTTCATGGTTCCACCGCCTGTGATTATGAACATCACACACGTACCACCTGAAAGATACATGATTGGGAAGATGGCTAGAAGTTTCCCCAATTTTTCACCTACAAAATGAAGTCATTCAACATTAAAGGTCCACTTTTTGTATCTTCATAAAAGGTCTTTTAGTAAAGAAAAGGATGTTGATATATACACACCAAAGGCAGCCATGGATAGTTGAATGTATCTGTTGTAACGAGTACCGTCGATGGACTCATGAAGATTCACTAGCAACCCAATCGTGTAGAGCTGCCATACAAATGCCACAGACAAACACAGAATCCCCCAATACCTGCAACAAGAAAGTGTATATGGGTCCAATTAATCAGTGCAGAACATATATATATATATATATATATATATATATATATATACAATTCCCCAACACCCTCTCTCTCTCTATATATATATATACATACATATATATGTGTAGAGATATTGTTGTCGTTACCAAAACCTTTAAATAAGTAATTTTTAAGTCGAAACTTTTTCATGGCGATGAATGGAATAGAAAATACACCCGGTGGTCTTACCAGCCGAGATATACAAAGGCGAGAGGGAGAAATAGTGTTTGAGTTCCGATTCCGGAGGAAAGCAAATGGAAGGTCGCCGTCCACGAATTCCCGTTTGTTGATTGGGTGATTGGAAACCAACGGTCCGGTGGTTGCTTCATTACATTCCGGTCTACCTGGGAATCAAGTTGCTCGGATTCCGGAGTTGTGGAGTAGTAATCCAGCATGCACTGGCATGCGATATCCCCTTCACCACTCATTATATCAATCCTTTTTTCTGAAACACCTTCTCCTTGCTTCCTTCCATCCACCATCTCACCCATCTCTTTGCACCTGCTTCACCTTTTCTATGGTATTTCCAGAGACAGATTTTGATCTCTTTAAACCTACTTCACTTTTGGTGGGTGTGTTTTAGAGAGAGAGAGAGAGAGAGATTTTGATGGGTGTTAATGAAGAAAAACTAAAGGCATAATCGACTTTATAAACCTCACCTCCAACTCCAATGATCGATAACTGTTCTATCCCCAGCCCCTCCTTTTTTTTTCCCTATTGTTTACCTACTTCAAACATTAAAATAAGTTTATTTTATTTTTCATTTTTAACCCTTTATATTTTTAGTTTTAACCTTTTAACTTTCTAAATACTTTTCTTTTATATCCTTTACGTTTTTTTGTTATTTTTAATCTATACTATAATTACATATATTAATTAATTACATATTATTATTAATTAATAAAGTATTAAGGATACATGTTTTTTAATAATTATATAAATTAATTAACTTTATATTATTACTAATTAATGATGTAATAAAAATATGTATTTTTTAAATTATATATTTGTATATGAATTTTTTTCAATATTATACTTTATATCTTTATAAAAATTTATTATATTTATTTACTTCTTTATTTTTATTTTATACCCTTATAATATTTATATAATTACAGTTCCATAATTAGATAAAACGATGTTCAATATGTTCAATATTGGGTTTACGCATAAAAAGTGGTTTTTAAGAGTTTTTGTTAAATGCTTTATAATATAGTATAGATATACGTTTATGTATGTTAATGTGATAAAARTGTAAAAATAAATTAATTAAGTAACTACAGAATATAAAGTATAATTTTAAAAATAAATGATGTATCATAAATAAATAAATAACTATAAAAATATAAATCGTAAATATTAAAAATATTTTTTCATAATATATAATATATAATAATATAATTAAGTAAAAAACAATTCAATATTTGACTCATTTCGAAGGTATTAACGAGCCGATTATAATGGTGTAACTTGTTAAAATAAAAATGTATTTTTTAAACATATTTTAATTGATATACAATTATATATGTTAATTTGATAAATGTGTAAAATGAAAAACTTAAAAGTAAAGAACGTAAAGTAAATTAATTAACTAATTATAGATGTATGAAATGTAAATTTAATATTTTAATTTTAAAAAATTGGATTGAATGTGAGGGAGTGAGTATGTGAGGAAACGAGTATGTGAGTAAAGGGGTTGAAAAAGTTGACGTAAGTGATATCAATATCAACCCCAAACAGGGGTAAACAAAAAAGAAAGCATTGAATGGTGCTTCTAGGAAAGAGAGGGAGAGAAAAAGAGAAGGAGAAAGAGATTATTTAAATAGTATGTGTCACAATGACATGAACATGGTGACGTCATTATATAATACGTCCACGCTTACGATTCGTGTTATATAAGTTAGGGGTGAACACGGGTTGGGTTGGGCGGTTTATGACGTTTTTTCAACCCAATCCAATTACGGCGGTTTGAAAAATTTCAACCCAACCCAACCCATTCAAAAGTATAACCCAACCCAACCCAACCCTTGCGGGTTAGGGCGGGTTGGGTTGGGTTGGCGGGTTACTAAAACTCATAAAATTGTCAAGTGAAATATGATAAATAATACTAAAAGTATACCAACAAAGTCATTAATTATTACAATCATCCAAAAGTATATATAAAGACTAAATCCTCAAGTCTTGAAATCAATTTTCAAAAATCAAAAGTTTGATACGAGTAATAGACTTCCCATTTTCATATGTTAAATGTTCAATCAAGTACAACCGTCTTTGACCTTCCCGACTCCGATGTTGCATTCTCCTTGAGCTTGTCTACAATTCAAAAACAATATTAAATAATTTAGTAAGAATATGTAACTATATAAGCATGAAAAAAGAACAATCGTTAAGTTTACTTTCTTCAAGAAAGTCATAAGATGAAATTTCATCTAAAAACTCACTTATTTGAATCCCCTTATTGTTCTCTTTCAACCAACTTTGTGTGCATACAAGGGCCTCCACCATTTTTGGACTCAAAGAGCTTCTAAATGAGTCTAAAATACGACCGCTAGTACTGAAGCCGGATTTAGATGCTACAGTAGATATAGGTATAGCAAGAACATCTCTAGCTATCATAGACAAAATGCTATACCTATTAGTATTATCTTTCCACCAAAGTAATACGTCAAATGATGGAGTTTTTGGATTGATAGATCCATCAACCAAATATCTATCAACGTCGTTCATGTTTTCCGGCACGTCCATTTGTTGTTGTTGCAAAAATGATTCCAATAATCTTTTTCTTTGAGATTCTTTGGAATCATTCTTTGGTGGTGATTCTAGTTTGGTAGCCTATACAAAAAAAGGACGATGGCGAAGGACGGACGAAGCGATGGAGAAGAAGTAGGGACGACGGCGATGGAGAAGAAGTAACGACGGTGATGAGGAATTGAGGATTTGCCGATTTGGTGACTGTTTCTAAATTCTAAGTAGCGAGTAGGAGTAAGCGAGGGTGAAGTGGTGTAGTGGTGTACCAGTGATAGTGAAGCCGTGAAGGGGGAGTAGGACTAGGGTTTGTAATTTTGTTTAATTGTTATTCCATTTTTGTTGGCTTGTTGGCTGGTTGGGCACTTGGGCTAAGCCTAAGGATTATTGCAAGGGATTATTGGGCTAAGGGATTATTGGGCTAAGGTGTTAAACCAAATTCACAAGTCACAACACATMTTTCATTTTTATAAATATTACATATATATATATACATAATTTTATAAAAAAATATACATTTGAGGCGGGTTGGCGGTTTGGGTTGGGTTACGTTATGCCAACCCAATTTCAACCCTTCTAATTAGCGGTTTGGCGGTTAGCGGTTTGGCGGTTTAGCGGTTTGGCGGTTTGGGTTTAATCGGGGTTGTTAGCGGTTCGGGTTGGGCGGGTTTCACGGGTTGGCGGTTTTTTGTTCACCCCTAATATAAGTATATATATATATAAGTATATATATATATAAGTATATATATATATATATATATATAAGTATATGATAGGATAATTGAAGAAAAAGAGTCCACACACAACAACCTTATTCATTTTCATTTTCTTTAAACTTGAATCTATCGTATAATGAAACAGTTGTATATATTTTTTCCAAGAACTTACGTTCATAGTAGAAGTTATTGAACGTATTTATGTGTCACGTATCTCCATATATTGTGAATGTTCTTAACGAAACAATGTTAAAGATATAATCAAAATTGATGTATTGAACTTGTTTTTGGGTAACTATGAGTATTCGGGACAACTTACACGCACCGACTAATTCTTTGGATAGTAACGAATAGCTTGAAGTCATCGCATATGAAGCTCCATGGTCACAACTGTTAAAACTAGTTTTATTATAGCAATCTTGACACTTCTTTTGACTTAAATTAGTTTTCTGATTTAAGTTGGTTCTTTATTGATGGTTGTAATATTCCTGAAGGAGCATAATGGTTGATTCAAGAAAAGGTAGAAGGGCTGTGCTGATAAAAGATGTTGAAGTTGAAGGTTAGGGGAGCATGAAGTTGGTTTCTTGGAGGACTATATCTGTAATTTCATTATTCATATTTAAGTTTGTTGTTTTCTTCATTTGAGGGCAAGATTCATTTTCATGCTCTAAAATTTGTTTCTTTATTGTAGTTTAATTTCTTTCTATCAGTGTGTGAGAAATTAGGATTTTCATTCGTATAAATTTTTGTATTTAAACATTCGGATCTTTTTAGGATTTGTGTTGAGAATGATACGAAATTTTATGTTAAGGTTTTCTAGATGGTCAGGAGGAGTCCCGTCTATAGGCCAGAGGGGCGACGGTCCAGGGCAACAAATAACTCAAGGGCATTACTTTCTGAAGCCCATTTCTATATAGATAGGTTCATTTTGGACCTTAAAAAACATTATTGTTACTCTATAACGTAAGGGACAAGGGCATCGACCGCATCATCATTCATCTGATTCATCTATCTCAGTCTCGCTTCAAAATTCAAGAGTGACTAGAGTAGAGTATTAGACGAACTCACAATTCATGAACTCCGAAACTCGTTCTCCCCCTCTCTCTCTAAATCGTTTGTGTTTCTAGGTGACCTCTGACCTGAACAAACCTCTCGGCTCTCACTCTCGCTCGGCTCTTGAGTCTCGACCTAGTTTCTGGAAAGGGTCTAGAACTCGTTTGATTTTGAATCGTCAATCATCGCGAACCACGACTAAAAAAGGTGTTATATTTCTTTTCTATGTATCATATCATTATTCATTTGTTTAAGATATGTCTCCTCGATCACAAATATAAAATAGTTTCCAAGCCTAGATTGAGTGCCTAGATTAACTAGGTTTCAAATCTTACATAAAGTCTAGGCTGAGCTTGGGTCTTATTAAAACCGAATGCAGTTGCTATTCCAAAACATGGAAGATGTTCCCGAATATTTAAATTCTTCTCATGCATCTAACTAGCACTCAACTTTTCATGATGTCGCTAATATCATACGCCAAAGACCTGAAGCACATGCCGACAAATAAAAAGGGGTTAATTAGGCTTAACACCTAGTGAATTAAAACAATTTTCATCATTAATATACAACATTAAAGCTGAAAGAATATTATTTAAATAATAATTTCCAAGATAAAGTGTATTGAATATAAAAGCAACCTCTTTCCTAAAACCCATCATTATCGTGATAAAACCATGTTAATGAAAACACATGTTTAACATGAAACCAAAATTCAATACCCACACAAAATATAAATAAAACTTGATATTCAAATGCCGGAAACATGAATAAAACTCAAGTATTCAAAACAACAAAATGTAAGTAATAGACGACATTCAAAACATCAAATTATGGGTATATTCCGTACCCAAAATAACATCAAAAACATGGGTCAAATATCATGTCCAAAACAAACATTTATGTGATGAAGGAGATCGACAATTTTAGCCCCACAATTCTAAAATGGGAATATCTCCTCAGGAGCCTATCGTCTAGCCTTGCAATGAATACAATAGTAGGTTACATATC